TGCCTTCAAGGGAAGTCCAGTCTAAAAATGAAACTACACCATTATTTCCCCAACAAAAGTACAATTTTTAAGTTGATATAGCACTCTTGCAACCATTATCGTGGCATGTAATCCATAAATTTGTTTGAAATTCATCTCAGCTCAAAGGATTTGTATTAAAATTAATTGAAGTAGCTTTCTTTCAACCTTTAATTTTAAACTCCTAAGTGATAAATCCAAAACCTTACGTGTCTGCCTTAATGGATAAGGCAGCACATGTGACCTCACCAGAGTCCATACACATGCGCATCAATGGAAAGACTGCATCTTTAAGATCTCATGTCTGATCAAATTGTTCTGGTTCTTCTTCTTCCTTCTAGTCTTCTATTAAAAAGGTGGAATGGTGAAGTCAAAAAAAAAGCCATGGAAGAAAAAGGGCTGGTTTTCAATTAGAACCTTAGACTTTGGGCTACACAAACTTCAGATCTTCCTCTTCTCCTGACCCATGCTTTTCTCCTATCACACTCCCAGTTGAAAGGAGGCTAGCTACTGCAGATGTTTGTAACTCAGCTCATGGCATGTCAGGATGGAGGGATGGATGGCTCCCCTCACACCGAGGGACTCTAAGAGCTTGTCTCCATCTCCCCAAAGCTTGCCAACTCCAACTTAACCAAGAGTAAGGAGAGGGGCGCCTCTTACAGGTACCCTTGCTGAAATAGACATTTCTTCCCCCAACCCAACCTATAGAAAAGAATGTTATTTCGGGCTCCTTTGAACTTAGGTAAGAGACAGCTCATAGTGCCACGGCTCTTTTCTGAAGTATATGCGCAAGATGAAAGCGAGATAGGTGTGGAGTGGACAAAGTACTTTCTTTATCGTTTGCAGATTGGTTTGTCAAAATCCAACCAGTGATTTCACATACTTTGCTTTTCCTTTTTTTTGAAGGAGAGGTAGGGGGGAAATCCAGGCAGGAGGTGTTTTTCCAGACCTGTGAATGCAACACTCAGCAGCCAAGCTTAAAAGTTCCTGCTGCTCCTGCAAAAAAGGGACAAACAAGCCCTTTTCATGTCAGCTATGTCCAGCTGGAAATGTCACAGCTTTGTCACAATGGAACAAAGCATGCCTGGTGTCTGTTCTTTCAAAAGGTCTCTTAATTCAAACAAAAGAAAAATATTCACATCTGGAAGGGGTCGTAGGCAGGGGGTGGGAGGGGAGGAAGCAAAGTTCAGATGGCATGTCATAGCAGTTGCTGTTTGTCTAATTATTGTACTGCCTGTTCTGGCACTTATTGATCCAGTTAAAGAAAGAAAGCCAAGAGTTAAAAAAGCAAATTTTATTATTGACTGACCTCAAAGGGCCAGAGGAGACACACCTCTTCACTTTTGCTCGACTCATGGTGCGGAACACTCAAGCTGAGTGAAAAGACCCTTGTGACCAGTCTAGCAGGAGATTCTCCTTTTTGATTTTTTAAAGGAAGAAAATAAAACTGTGGTGTATGTCCTCCAGGCTCGCATTACAAAACCACAACCTTCACGTCCACAGGACGCACATCTCGCATGTGTTTTCCAATAGGTTTATTCGAGCATCTGTTTCTGCAAAGATTAAAACCTTCTAATGACTGCCGAGCTGGGAGGCTGCATCAGAACTGAGCTGGAGGATGATCAAAAATTAAATGTGTGGTGACGTGAGATTAAAGGGGAAGGGAATAAACTTGAGAGCAGGACTTCACTGGCTAGGCACGAAAGACCAACAGCGAGAGTTTACATTAGTGCTATATTAAAATCCTCCTCCTTCAGCATTCAGCGCTTCTGGACGATGAAAAGCCTCTCCTAGGCTGCCACCTAGCTAGTTAATTTCTCGTATTGTTTAGGAGCTATTTTAAAAAGCTCTTCTGCTCCAGCCCTTACTGCACTGACTCCTCCCCTCGGAGCTGGTATTTTGTCAGGAGTTTCAAGAGCGGTAAAAACTCGCTGCCAAGTCCCTTTCTTCCCCTCGTCGTGTTTTATAACGCAGCGCGCGGTTTCGTCCGTCCCACGGCCACACCAGCACCCTGCCCTCAATTCCCATGGAGATGGTGAACTCCGTCGCAGCCAGAAAGCCTTAGAGTGTTTTTTGCCATTAAAAAAAAAAAATCAACCTTGACAGTGTTTGCTAAAAATCAGCCTGCAGGAGCATCACATTTTCCAGACAGTTCTAGCAAATTTAGCGCATTCCAGCACAGGATTTTGCTTCAGTCTTTCATACAGAACCACGGTCTTAACCCAACGTGCATGTAAGTCACCTTCCAGCTCAAGCTGCTCTTTCCCTGCGTGCTTCTCTGCATTAGCAGGATGCCTGAAGGCACGACGACCCCCCTGGCATCAGCCTGAGAGCTGCCACATCCCCGAGCAAAGCCGAGGTACGAGATACAAGGAAGACTGCAGGGCAGAGAGCGGGGAGGTGACGGACATGACTTTGAACTCCATCAGAGGCAGAGCAATAAACAGGAAAACTTCACGCCCTGAAGTTTAGGAGCGCTGCCATGTGAAACTTTGCAGTTTGCCCTACTCCTAGCCATTTACCATCTGGCAGAAATACACCGGCATCAGGGTCTGTTCACAACAACAACTTATTTAACACCAGCTTTCTTAAAACTGAACTGAAAACAGCCCCCAAGCTGCTCCAACATGACCTGAGCAGCGCAGGAAAGCAGACCTGCTCCCCAAACGCAGCAAACGAAGGCCACACGCTGTGTGCAGCTTCAGCTGTGCAAAAATGGTTTCCCAGCCTTACTTTCACTGCAAGGACAAGCTCCTGGCAGCGGCACGTCGGTGGCACGCTTGTTGATCCAGGCTAGAGAAGAGGCGGTAACAAGCAGAGCTTTGAACAGCGCAGTTTCCTGGAAGGATTCCCCAGATTAAAGCTATTTTATAAATATTTTCCAGGCTCCCATCAGCGAGGGAAGCTGGACCTGCAGTGGCTTTTTCTGGCACTCGGGAGCAGCCGCTCCATAGAGACCAGACACGGATAACCGCGCGCAGCCGCCGCTTTGGGACAGAGGAGTTAAAGGCAGGAGGGAGAATGATTTTCCTAGCAAGTTTGGCCAACTTTAAAGCCACTGGCAGGGCTTGTGACAGCGGGTACCCCGCCACAGTGAGCACCGATGTCCTGTAAGACTCCCGTAGCACCTACCGGGGGGGTTTCTTTGCAGACTGTGGCATCAGTGAGGTGTGGGTACCAGCACCGCGCAGCCCTCCAGCACCCTTCACACCACTCAAACCACCTGTGGAGGTGCCAGAAACCCTCACCCATGCACCCTGCTCGCCGGGTGCCCTGGGGACACCACCAACTCCTCTCGCATGCAGCCCCCAGGGCTCACCCCAACAGCTCCCCTCCGCCCCATTTCGAGCCCACCGCCCCATTTCGGGCCAGGGACTGAGCCCCGGGGCCTCGCCTCTCCCCCCAAAAACCCGAGGAGGCTCCGTGGGCGGCACTCACCGATGTCGGAGTTGCAGAAAGCATCCTGCGGGTGGATGGGGACGCAAGTGCAAGCCTCCACCACGGCGTCCTGCAGGCTCCAGCTGCAGAGAGCCAGGGCGAGGAAGCCGAGCCACGCCGTCATGATGCCCCCCGGGGGTTCACCCCTTGGCTTGTGCGGAGCGAGAAGGCAGGAGCCTCCCTTTTGCTAGCAGCCTCCCTTTGCACGGTGCCCCTGCTCGCTGGGACGGTGCAAGCCCGAGAGCGAGGTGCAAGGCGGTGCACGGGTGCAAGGCGATGCACGGGTGCAAGGCGATGCACGGGTGCTGCACGCTGCTGCTCGCTGCACACTCCTGCTGCTTGCTGCTGCTCGGTGCACGGTGCTCGGTGCACGCCGCGGTGCGGTGCAGCGCGGCGCCGAGTTATAGCCGCCCCGCCGCCGGCCAATGGGAGCCCCCGCATTACCTCATCGGCGGGAGCGGCCGGCGGGATGGGAGGGGCCGAGGGCCGCCGCTTCAGCGCCTTATAGGGAATAGTGCGGGGCCGTTGGGGCGGGCGGTTACCTGCGCCGCTGGCCGCCCTGAGGGGAAGCCCGCCAAGTCGTGTCCCCGTCCCACAGAAACTTCGTTGTGCCCCATCCCTGGGTCTACTGAGAGACCCTGACACTGCCCGCACGGCTTTGGTCCCCTCTGGCCGGCTCTGGTCCCCCCGCCCCCTCTGGGGATTTGCCTCCCCTCAGGGTGGCAGCCCGCAGGGCGGGCAGAGGCGCCCCCGAAGCCCTCCGGGGTTTGCTTATAAAACTCGGGCTGTTCCCTCCCCTCGGCTGCTTATAAAGCGATTTTTTAGGTGAAAGGGGGTAGTACCCTAAAGAGCTACTCCTGAAAACACAAGGGGAGCACTGCGCGTTGCTGCTTTTCCCCTCTCAGCAGGCAGCGGATGGAGGAGAAGGACGAGACCTTAGCCAGAATTTCATCTTCGTATTTTCATCCAATGCTCAAAAAAAAATAAAAAAATCTCAAATGCTCCTTCTCCTGCCACCACCCACTCCCCTTCTCTTCCCCTCCTCAGTGACTTTCTAGTCGCCGGTCACATCTACCCGGGTGCTCCCAACATTTCATCTCAGCGTGTATTTTAGCAGAGCAGCTTTAGCAGAATTTACAGAAAAGTCCCGTTTGTTTTGTTTTCCCTTATCCCCTTTCGGAACAGTAAATTTCTATCAGCTGTAGAAATGTAAATGTTATAGTAGAGCCGGGGCTGCGACGAAGGAGATTGCCAGCTGCAGGATACAGACATCCTCATTATCCTGCAGAGGGGACCAAGGGGCGATTAATCACGGTATCAAACCAGTATATATAATGTCAGAGTACTTTCCATGGGGTTTACAAGACTTAAGCATGTCTAGTTATAAATTATGCTGGTATTAAAGGCCGGGGACCAGCTGTCCTAAATTTCTAAATAGTCAGCTAAGTCTTTAGATTTACAATTCTTCTCCATCTGGGTGAAGCACAGCCTGCCTACACCTCTTCTTGAATCATGCCATCCCCATAAAATTAAAACCTCCAGTCTTATGGAAACACAGGTCTTTATTTGGAGCATAGGTGTACAAAAGCGTCGTGATGGGTGTTGCTAGCAGTGATCAAGGTTGCAAAGCAATCGGAGGAAAATGCAGGTTCCTCTCCTCGCTGTGACACAGCCAACCTGTGTGGCAGCTTCATCTCGCCGTGCTTCAAATCCCAATCCGTGTAATGGGGATAATGGTGATGGAGCTTCACAGGAATGTCTGTTAGTGAGCACTGAAAAAAAAATCAGGTGGTGCGGAGGTGATAATGGGTCATATAAGTATGTATGAGGCAGGACATTAAACAAGGCTTTAGATTTAGGTACGTCACTGTCAGAATCATTTGGCTTCAAACCGCAATATGAGAACCCCTCTGCGAAAAACTCCCTAGATATTTGGGCTGTCTGCTGGAGGTACTGCAGCTGAAGCTGAATCTGTCAGATTGGACTGTCATTTCCATTTTACTGGGTGTAAACAAGGAACAACCCCACTGACCTCAGTGGAGTAACAACGGGAGAAAAATGAGGTGTGCCCGGTACTTTCATTTTTTCTTTAGTTGTTCTAAAAAGGTTTGATATCGCCACCATCATGATACACCTGATCTATCAACATCTCAGATCAGTATCTGAGAGCAGCTCAGTTATTCCATAACCTGACACTGTGTAAATAAGGGAGACTTTGGCCCTCACACAATGAGATTATAATCACAACCCCAGCAGCACCTGGCCCAGTTGCTTCTCTGAGAAGGTTTCTTCATTTCTATAATCACACCTTTCCTGTGTGTTCCGAGGGCTAACGAGCTGAATACTTTGTACCAAGCTTTGAAGACGATGGGTGTTGTGTAAATGCCAAGAGTGGCTATAATACAAGACACAGGACATGTTCAGAGGAGACTGAAGAACAAACCCTTCAGTCGTCTTCATTTCTGAGTAGGGAAAAGGAAGGGGGCTGGAAGTTACACAGGGCCCTTCAGGCATGGATGTAGCTTGTTTACAGTGAGACCAACCGAGCTTGTTCAAGTAACACCGAGTTTGTGCTGACGACAGGAACTGGTTCACTTTTCAAATATAACCCAGAGAAGTAATCTGCAATTACTTGCCGGGCTGAAAAGGAGTGCCGCAGTCTGACCCAGCAGCAGGGCACATCTGCTTGGAAGGGATGATGTGCAGGCTGGCTGCGTGTCTTCTCTGCCACAGTTTGAGATGTGACCCAGAAAATTCAAAATGCATTGTAGCAGCAGTACCTGCATGGCAGGAGTAGTAGTACCTGTGTTCAGTCAGTAAGGATTTGGCAGATTTGGCTGCTTTTCTGACACCTAGATACTCTATTTCAAAGAGATCAACTTCTCTGTAGTAGCTGGGATGCAGGATACTGTGCGATAATAACAGTTCAGTAGCACTGTATACCATGCAATAATAACAGCAGTTATTTGCCACTTAGAGGGTACACTTCATCCACAGAAACCAACTGCTTTGTTTTTGTAAATCACAAATAGTACTCAGGAAAACTCAGTCTGGCCTGTGGCCTGCTATGAGGCCCGTTAAATCATTTTACCTGCCTGCACATTCATTTTATCATCTGTAAATAGAGGTATTACATATCATCCTCTGACAATATCTATTAGACATTCAATATTAGCCTCTCCACTTTGAGACCCACCAGTGAAATGCACTCTGGAAGAGGCAGGAAGGAGTTCTGATTGTTTATTTATATTTTGAAAAATTGATATAGGGTCAAAGTAACATAAAACGTCATGAAGGAACTGAAAGAACTCCATCTGAATCCCTGTTCTCTGCGTGGGAGAAACTGCAAAGGGAAAAAAATAAAAATAAAATAAACTAGCATTCAGCTCCTTTGGCTAGATGAAACTTTAAGCCTTATATGGCCATAAAAAACGTAACAGAGAAAGAAAGAGAAAATAAAGACCTTGATCTTCATATGAGAAAATTAGAGTTCACATTTGATTTATGTCACCAAATAAAGAAATCCACGTTATTTCAGTCCACCCCCGAGAGCACACTGTTGAACACAATTAAGGATCTCTCTGCTTTACTGGGCAGCCACACCACGTCACGCTGTGATCTTGTCGGATCCCACAAGCTAAGCCTGACTGGGCTGGGTCAATAGCTGGTGTGAAAATTCCCAGGGAAAGCCGTGTCCTGCAGGTGTTGTTGGCTGAGCAAAGTGGCCTTCTCCCCTCAATCCTGCACGAATGTGTAGAGGCAGTGCTAGGGGGCACTGCGCTGCAAGAGATGTTCGCATTTCGTCCGGATGGAGCCAGGTTCCTCGCAGTATCTGAAGAACCCTGTCTTTGCAAAAGGAGCGGTGTTAAGCTGGGTGTCTTGGTTATGTTTCGGGAGAGAGAGCTACTTTCTGCTTCCACAGATACTGCAGTTTACACCAGGAGCATAACTAACACTGTTTCCCTTCCACAAGTCCTGTTTGTGGCTGGGAAGGACCATCCCAGAGCTAGGTACAGTGACTGAGTCCTTCAAGAGGCACGAGGTGCTGCTGTAAATGAACTAAAGGCAGATCCTCTTCCCTTCTGATCACCTTTCACAACGAAACGTGAGGGATGCCAGACACTGGCAGAAAGCTGCTTCTGAACTGACAAAAGCATCTGAATCTAATTTGTACAGAAGGGCTTAATCAAACTACAGGAACCGCTGGCCAGAAGAAAAAAAAAAGAAAAAAGAGGAACAAACGAATGAACAAAAGAAGGACACACACACACACTACTACCACCACCAAAGGAAAAAACCCTGACACATGTAGCAGCTAAAAACACCCCAGCTCATCACAGACCTCAGCTGGCTTAAACTGAGCAAGCTCAGTTCATGAATGAAGGCAGGAGGCTTCAGCCCGTAGTCGCAACAGTCCTGCCACCTTGATGAACAAATACATTAATTTTAAATGCTTCTGAAGTATGGGCATTTTTCCATTTTAACTTTCCCGCAGCAACTTGACTTGCTTCATGAGCATGGAGCCCTGCCACCAGCATTTCAGTGTGCAGCTGCCAAGTTACTCCAAAGTCTTGTCTTATCCTAAAACCTTTTCTTGAAGTTGACGATCCTTATATCTTTTCCATCAGTTCAGCCTCACACCCTCTAGGGGATGTCCTTGTTTTTCTGCTTTTGTCTAGCGGGTTGGAAAGGACTGGTGCTTTTCGGAGCCACCTGATGTCCTCTTTGACAGCACACCCACACCATGTCACAGGCAACTCTACTGAGGCGGTTGTGCATTGCATTAACAAAATGTTCTCTTGTTTCCCGATTATCTGTTTCTCTCTCAGAAAGCCTGTGGTGTTTTTTTCTGACACTTTTCTTTGAGAAGGCTGTTTTATTTAAAATTTTCCTATTTGCTATGATTTATGAGTATAAAAAAGGTTGGGGGGGAAAAAAAAATCTATTAACTCCTCTATTGTATCAATGGACTTCATCTGCTACTTAAAACAAGAAGGCTTTTTCTTCAGAAATGTCTTTGATTCTATATATACATACGAAAATGTTTTATTTGATCTCTTTCTCAGTGGCTGCAAAGAATTATGTCACCTTCCTGTCTGGAAGCCAGACACAGGTAACGCTCTATCCCACTCCCAAGCTTTCAGTTAGAGATACGCCATTAACCTTCCCCAGCTCTAACAGTTCTATCCCGAAGATGCTCCACTGAAGTCAACACGACCATTTACATGCGCAAAGTTAAAATATAAGCTTAAGTGCATTTCTGGAGCAGGGCCAAAGGGTTCAAGCCAGGAAGCTGTGATTAGATGGTCTGACAGAGTCAGGGGACGGGACGTGATTTGCTTGGCTTCACCTGCCTGTGCCTCATTCCAAGCAATTAATTTTCTCTCATTTTTGTTTATAATAAGTTGTGTGTTTTTTTTTTTTTTTTTTTTTTTACTTTCCATTTCTCTTGCTTTGCTTTCATGGCTGCTGTAGCCATTTCCAAATTGAAGTTTTGTTTTTCTTTTTAAACCCTTCTAAACTGCATCAATAGCTTTAAGTGACTGAACAAAGAGATTGCAAATAGACGGAGTGCTTCAAATGGTAATAAGAGCTGGTGTTCCCAGAGCTTTGGAGGCTGGCACTAAGTAGAGAGGAGAGCCAAAGTGACCGAAAATCACTTTTCTGTTGTTCCTTTGTATGAACTGTTTTCTGGCTTATGCAATGCACGGTAATTAAAATGACTGGAATGCCTCACATTTTTAAGAGAGCTTTAAGGCAGCTCTGTGGCACTGTGGCCAGCAGAGTTCATGAGCTGTAGATTCATGGCTGTAAGCAAGGTCTGACGTTTCTCTCCGCGTAACTTGAACGAGACAGTCTCTCTGTGGAGGCCTGGGAGGTGAGCTTGAGGAAGAAGGACTTTCCATGGGAGAGGGTTTGCATCCGAGCACTGGCCACTGCAGTTGCTTGATGCATTTGTGGAGGTCCAAATAACTCCCCAATATTGAGCAGGCAGACAGCCTGGCAGACTGGCAAGTCTCTCACTCATGATCCCATCCCTCTGCTGGGGTTTGCTCTGCGTGGTGGGGATACGGGAGTACCTTGTAGCTTTTCACCCTCCTGGTACAGTCCAGAATTTCATTTTCCTGTTTTTCCATTTTTGCCGTTGACGGCGACTGGGAAGTGGTGTGGGGGAAGCCACTGCAGCCCTCATCTCTCAAGGGTTGGCCTTGCTTCTCCAAGGATGATCAGCCATGGAGGAACAGGGGCGCTGAATCCAGTCCTCTTGGCATGGGAGGCGACTGGACTGAAGCACAAGACCTTTTTGGCAGGCTGTGCAAACAGATCCTTCTCTCCTCACCTCTCTGCCTCTCAACAGCCTTCGGAGGCCCAGTAGGCCTGCTGGTCCCCAGGATGTGCCACTGGTTTTATAGAGCATGTTCAAATCCTCTGAAAACATCATACTTGTGAAAGGCAGGAAGAGGAGCACAAGGGAGCTGGCATCCCTCTTTTTATTTCACTGACGAGCCTGGAGACACCGTCACGTCTGAAGGAAGGGCCTTCTCTCCACCTGCACAACAGGTGCAGCTGCAGGAAAAGTTTACGGTCTCTTGCCTCTCCTGCATAACCTGCAAAAACCTCCTGCAAAAATAAGCCAGTTACTTGATCCCCTCAGTCCAGCTGTTCCCAGCTTCTCACCTGAAACTGCAAACAAAGGTGTTCATTGCAGGAATGGTCTCTAATACGAGGGCAGTGTCCCAGCAGGGAACAAACTCGGCGATTCCTGCCCTGCATGTCACCAGGCAGGTGTCAAAAGTGAGACGCAGTTCCTCTGTGTGGTGATCCCAGCAGAGATGGCTGCCTCAGCACAGGATTTTTTTTTTTTTAAATCCAAATCCACTTTTTCAATGCTTTTGTTTCTGTATTCCCAAATTTCTGCTGTGTTGTAACAGCAAGCGGCTGCCTCAGTTAGAGCAGGGCCCTTTCACACAAGCTCCAGGCCTAGAAGGCACTAGAAGCTGGAGGATTTCTGACCTCAAGGACAGATTTCTATCTTCTCTGGAGCAAAAGGCAGCACTCGTGTTTCCTCACTCTTCTGGAATTTTTCTCCATAAATCTCGGCTTACAGTGGGAGACAAAAGGTGAGGCGATGGTAGGTCTGCAGTCGGGAGCAAGGAGGGTCCTGTCATTTGTTCATTGTCTCACTCTTCCTGAGTGATGAGGAACGCCTGCATCAAAGGACCCTTTCATGGCTGCAGGGCGAGTTCCACACCTCGTGGATTAACGTCAGCAGTGAGCAGATCAGTGGCTGATTCAGCACAGATGTGTGAAAGTTGTATTCTTTCTCCACTGAAGATAGAGGGGAAAATGTACAGTCCCTCTTCCCTTTTCCTTTAATCTGAATGGACTTGAGCTACCCCTCAGTCGTGCCTTTCTCTGCCCATTCAGCCAAGCGCCCTGGTTTCCATTCTGTTCTGATAGGTAATTGGGTATTGTGGAGGATGAGTTAATCTGTAACCAGATGCAGCACAACTGGAGGTGACGCCAAAGGAAGAGGAACAGAGCAAACTTCCTCCGTTTTTCCTTCACACTGAATGCAAGAACCTTTACCAGGGAGCAAGGGGATACGGCTATGATCTCACACGTTACTTAGCAGAAGCTCAAAAAAAAAAAAAAAAAAAAAAAAGAAAAAAAAAAAGGCATCCTATACTGGCATAGTTCAACTGATTTTAACTCAGTTTGTAGCAAGAGCAACAGGTAGCGCACAGGGGCAGGTCAGTGCTCTTCTGAAGGGGAGGCATGCAGTATGGATGAATGTCCTTGCACCCCACTGAGACTGCCCAGAAAGAAGGACTTCAAACGCATATCAGAGGCAGCGATGACAGCCACGCAGAGCGGGCAGGAAGCAGGGAAGGTGTTGAATGTACAGATGTGAATCCATATTGTACGTACGGCTCATGAACACGTGCCCTGAGCAAGACCTGTGGCAGACCGGTGGCTGAGGGACTGCCCCACATTCTTCCCATCTCCCAGTATCTGCAGCAGTGATTGTAAGCAATGCTTAAAGCCAGCTGAAAGAGGAAAATGAGCTCGCACCACACCAGCCAGGGAGGAAGAGCTCTCCCTAGACACCTAGCTGAGGACTGGGAGGAACGTGCTGAGTGTAAAGGTTCTGCAGTGCACAGAAAGGCTCTCAGTTCAAGTTCACTTGCCATCTGAGTGAGTATAACGGGGAAGGAGGGATGGAGACCTGCTCAGTGTAGATAAATCCTTAGTATGGGTATAACAGAAGACACTAATCTGGTCTCATATCTCACTGCATAGCAGTGGAAGGTGTACCTTCCACAGCAGTGTAATTCTCTCTCCCACTGCTCAAACAAAATGATCTACTGCTGGGGAAAAAAGAAAAAAAAAAAATCCATATGATCCATAGTCACTTTTGTTTCAAGGAATTTATTTTGCCAAAGCAGCAGCAGCACAAAGAGCACAGACCTGCCTCACGGAACAGGAAGGAGCACGCTAGAAAGGGGAATTTTTACTTCATCTGAAATTGCTTTCCCCATCCGGAATAAATCTTCACCAATGATCATATATAATGTCAATAGTGACTTAGCCTAGGGGGGTAGTATAGCGTTAGCTGTGCATGGCTGTAAGCAAATAGCACCACGGAGAGTTGGCTGGAGGAAGCAAAATCTTATTCCCAGTGAACACGAGAGCATTTCCTTCTCCTCCCTGCAGAGACAGAACCCAGCTCCTCAACTTCGACAATGCCTCCTACTCCCCCAATGTGTTTCCACTAGTATCACTGTGATTACACTTTTTTTTTTTCTTTGAAAATATAGTCTGAAGGCAGATAGAGCCACTCAGTTCTATCCTGAGACAAGTCCTCAGAGGAGGAGGGAGATGCTAATGCCAGAAAATAAAATATTCCGTCAGGCATTAGTGAAAAGGAGGAGGGAGGGCAGCTTGTAAAGCCATGCCTATGGCTGCGTGGAAGGGATCATTCTCAAAGGACTCCTTTAATCAGATTCCGCAGAAGATAGGCTCTCTCTCTGTAATTCACTCCATACCATATTCAAGGGCCATATGCGCTGGTCATGTGGAGATTTACAGTCTCAAATTTACTGGCCTCGGAGACTCTCAAAGAATTGTGCAAGAAATCAAGTTCTATGATAACCGAGGCCTCACGCTGCCGTGCTTTCTACAGACTGCTTCAAGCTCAAGATAGGACCCCTCTAGGGCTTTGTAAGCCCTTTTGGGGAAGAGGGAAGGAGAGAAAAGGGGCAGCTGCTGATCATTGCCATATGTGAGAAGCATCCCTGTCTGCACGTGGGTGTGATGTCCGTGTTATCAGCGAGTCCGAGCTCCAAATAGGCCCCGTTTCCTGTTTGTAGTCAGCAGCTTGCTGCTGGAGCAGCAATCCCATGTCACACTGGACTGGAGTTACAAAAGAGCAAAACGGGTGGGGGAAATCCTCTAGAATAGCAGGGATGTGAGCCAGCAGTCCTCAGAGGCAGCAGAGCAAGTGGGAGTTTAGCAAACAACCATTTTCTGTCTCTTTTCCTCAGAGACCTCAGCAAATCCAGTTCTCAGAGCTCATTTTAGCTGTTTGTGGCTGGCCTGTTCCTAATGTCCCTTTCCAATCTCTCACACACACTGAACCTTGGGATACTCTCTGTGGGCTGACAGATGACATGAAAACCTCTAATCTGCAGGTCAAATATCAAAAATGAAGTGGGATCAGGAAACTGGTAGCACGATTTGTGTTTTTTTCCAAATAAGGGAGATACGTTCATATTGCGAGTTCTTAGCATACCAGGTCTGTGTGTGTTTTTTTAAGAACCATATGAGAGGAATGACTTATTTTTGAAAACTTTATGGTAACCACCGAAGATATTACCATCCCATGGACACTGCCTTTCCTATGCAGACTATGACAGACGTGCTTTCATTCCTTACTAGCACTGCTCTCCTGGAGGAAAACCAAAACCACATTGTCCCAAGCACTGTGCTCATGAGTAACAGGCAGAGTGCGTCCCTGCCAAAGGGCACAGAGTACACATTAGAGAGGGTTCAAAACGAACACAGCAGCAATAAAGCTGCGATGCCAGGAGTGAATGAGCTTGCTGTGTGCGGTGTTCATACCGTAGGCGTGATGTTCACAGAAGTCTGAGTCTTACCTGCTTGGCGCTCCTGCGCTGATGTGCTGCCAATGTTCTCCCACCCATAACATTTGCCCTACAGTCTGTGATGAATCTGATGTCCGGAGGCACTACAGGACACGGAAAGAAGGTAAAAGGTTTGGGATGATTCATCTCAACCAAATTTAGCCATAAACTTGAAGCAACAGGTGGGTCTGTGCCTTCCCCTAAATCTCTTGTGACTTCATTCCCTGATCTCCCCTCCTCTTACCCATACAAATCTGCAGAGGATTCTCTGCGGGCTCAAAGTATTTGCTCAGAGTGATATATCTGTGCGACTGGGGACAGTACAAGGGCCTATGAACCCCTAAGGGATCTGGAAGAGAACCTGCCTGTATAAGAAAACAAAGTCCAGGGCCTGAATATCAGCTCAGGACCCTTATTTTCACTAGACAGATTTAAGAAAGCTTTGAGTCAGGTGAGGAATCCTTAAAAGACCTCGGTCCTGGGAAGCTGACTGGCAGCAGAAGGCAGTTATTATTGCCCTCAAGGACCGGAGAGCACTAGTCCTTGAGCTGACAGGGGGCAGATTTCTGTTATTAGTTGGGCAGGTTGCCCTAGTTTGGTGTTGGACTGGAAACAAGAGGCTGACGAGGACTTCTTGGACGAGACTGCCTGGAGCTGGCAGGAAGCAGCAGTCTGTCTGCATGAAAACCAGACCTAGGGAGCTGGCTGCCCACGGCTCTTCTCCATGCCCCGCAGGTTTTTCCCAGGTGTGGTTGTGCTGCACAAGGAGCTATTTTCCACTCTACAGAGACCCAGCCACTGGCAATCGTAGCAAGCATCACTGGTAGCAGAGGTGTAGCACAGCCAGGCTGCTCGGAGAAGCCCAGCAGTGAGCGGAGCACGTGTAGGGGTGCAGGGGGCATCTCAGGTTGGCTCTGGCTTCCCACAGACTCCCTGCGAGCTCTGCAGATGCCTGAAGATCCTCTCCATTTTGAAGAGCAAAGTGGGCAGCTTGTTTCACTTTCAGAACGTGATGAATCCTGTCCAAGCCAAAGGAATGAAAGGGGGGAAGCCTCCCTCCCACGCACAACCTACAGGTTTTCCTAATAATCCCTGGACGGATGGACCCGGTCATGTGAGTCCTTGAAACTCTAGCCACTTTGGAGGAGCCACGGGTGTGGTGCCGTGGATGTGGCCAGCTATATGCGTTGCCCTTTACAGACAAGCTCACTGTCCTCCAAAGTCTGAGTATCAACAAAACCCTTCCTGTGGGGATTTCTAGCTCTGCCTGAGCCAGCTGCAAATTCCTTTGAGGCTAAAGACTAAGAAAACTGGAATCATGGGAGGACCTTGGTACAGTCCCAAAACCATTTCCACTGATCCTTCCCAAAAATACGGTTTCTCTGACCCAGGAATGCTAGCTCTGTAACAATGGCAAAGCTGAAGTCCTAGACCATTGGCATTAACTAGTATTAGCTCATTATTTCTGTGCACTCTGTCTGTCTCGTCTAATATGAAAATCATTCATGTGATTTTGAGAGATGTCTCCCTCTGGGAAAGGGCCTTTTTGTTCTTTCTTGTGTAGCACCTGGCACAAAAGGGATGCTAGCATTTGAGAGGGGTGCTACCTCCATATAAACGAATGAGGTTAGTGGGACTCCTAGCTTCTGTTTACCACTTCATTTTTGAGTTAATTATTTTTGAGTGAATAGTCGTAAAGCAGCTGAGTTATCACAGCAAAGCTAGAAGCTGTTTCAGCCAGGAAATGGTGAGAAGGGGGGAAAGCAGAAGTTGGTGAATAAATTATAGCGCAGCGGAACAGAAGCCAGGAGCTGGTATGAAGCAGCTGAAGCAGGCGGTGGCAGAAAGGTAACTACATACACAGAGAGCTCCTCATTCAGTGCCAGCAGAGCTGGAGGAAAACCGTGTTTGCTCCAAGGCAGGTGAAAGCACAATCCTTCAAAGCCAGGCCAGCCAGCCGCCCTGACCACAGGACCAGCTGCTGCCTTGCTTGCCAGACCTCCTGTTTTTGTGCTCTGTCCCCTCCAATCTGTCTGTGTATGGAAGGGGTGCCCACCAGTTGTCACCCTCTGCATGAACCAGCTGAAAAGTTTGGCTCCCCTACTTTGACAGGTTTCCTGCACGATATTTGTCCTTCCTCGCACGACGTGCTTTCTTTTGTCAACACTCGCAGACTTCCCCTTATAAACGGGGAGGTTCTGCGGGGACGTACCACCTCTTGGAGTGAAGGCATTCCCCAAAAGCCTTCCCCGTGATGTTGTGTCCCCAGCTGTCAACACTCTTCTCTCCAAGGAAGGAGAACGCATACCAGGCCTCCCTCCCCTGCCTGCGGTGTCTCCAAAGCATTAAAGGCTCCAGCAAGCAGCCAGCCAAAATAGCCACCAGCATTCAGGGAAGGGCATGTCAAGGGTGGGAAGGATGAGTGGCTACGCCGCATTGTGTTCCAGGCACGTTTGGCAGATGGTCCGCAGGGGACTATTAGGTGCTGGTGTGTGTTTGGGCAGCTTCTGGGCGACTTGTACTCACGCTGCTGATGGAGGGAAGGCAAAATGATGCGGCTGCTCCTACAGGCTCTCCTCCTTCCCACTGTTTTGTCAGCAAACCCTGGGCAGAGCAGAGCACCTAGCCCCACATCACACCACTTAAACACCCAAACTTCTCTTTCCTCTTCCTACCTGCCACAGCAGCAGGGCGGGGGGGTCAGAGAAGTCTTCCCCCCAGGGCAAGAAAAAAAAAGGCAGATGAAGAGCAGCCAGTGCACTCATGCTCTTCGTTGTGTCCTAGGCCAGACCCCACAGACCCACAAACCCCACAGACCCATCATGATTGTGCTGGCGTGAAGCACACACAGGCATGAAGGGGGGAAGGCTGTCGGGCCTGTTCCCAGCGCCGGGGCAGCCCTTTGACAGGACTAGACTTTTTTTTTCTCCCCTCCAAGAGAGAGGGTGGTCAACACCACCCCTAAACTCACCTCCACCCCCAAACAGCTGCTTTGCCAAAGGGTGGAGAAGCAGACCTCCTGATTGAGGGTGGAGCAGCTTGAAGGGGAGGAAAGCAGTGACTTCACTTACATTAAGTAACAGCAGAGCAGGGTGTGCGTCACTCTGAAAAACAAGATTTTGGGTGGAGGCAGGAGCTCTCTGCAGCATCTCGCACATGGAGCCTTCCCCTCTGTGGGAAAGCAGCAGGACACGCCATTCTGAAGGGGCAACTCGCAAAGTCAGACACCTTAATAACCTCGCTTAAGGAGATCCAGCAAGAAAAGTGAGGCAAAAGGGGCCTTGAGATTTTCTTCCAGCAGGGATAGAGGAGTGTGGCACCAGATCAAGTCCGTGTGAATGGAACAGCATGGGGATAAATTGAAGTCTGTGTGAATAAGATGAGGGTGAAGGAGGGGGCTGGAGGCAGCGCTGCGGCAGGCCCTCAGGCAGGGCGAGGCCGGGCAGGGCAGCAGCAGGGCAGGGACGGCCGCCTGCTCGGCCTGGAAGCTGGGCAGCCTTGGCTGGGGCACGGCACCGCCACAGCCCCAAACACCCCACGGCCCGCTCTGAGTCAGGTCACTGGGCCAGGCTCTGTAAGGGATCTCGTCCCTTAACGCTGGTTATTGTGTGAGTGGGGCAGTGCTGGCAGTTCTGAGACCAGTGAGGCCTCCTGCCCTGGCTGGGGAGCGCTGTGTGGACAGGGCTGAGCTCCTCCAGCACGTATGACCTGTACCAAAGACCAGGTTGCAGTGCTTAGACTTGTGCTGGAACTCACGTGAGTTATTTTCTGTCTGGCTCCTACACACCTTCACATACCGCAACCCACACGTGGTGAGATGCAGGCAAGAATTCAGGCTCCGCTTAGCAGTAAAAAAATTGCTACGCTGTCAGACCTTCAGTCTCTTTATCTATCTTTATCACGAAAATATAAATCGAAGCCCCAGTTTTGTGGTACCAAGCTCCCAACGGTTCCTCATGCAGACTTTCCCTAGAGACTCACCAAATCTGCAAAGAACTCAGACAAAACAATAAGCCAGTTTCCTCACTCCTGCATCAAGTGTATAAGAGAGGGGAAAGAGAAAAAATGAAGGAAGCAAAAAGCGTACCTTTTCAGCCAGACCTTGACTGGCAGCAGCAAAGGCAGAGCTCAATTTCTAAAGGTCACCAATAAACATAATTTTGTGTTCCCACTCCCCACCTGAGAAAATTAAACTGAGTATTCACAGAGCTCTACTTTCTTGCTTCCAAATAATAAATAGCTTAGCAGAACAGCGCTGTTTTGGAGAAAAAGAACAAAGGAACATAAAATAACAGGCATCCACCAGGATCCCTTTCCTAAGAGGTACTTAGCAAAGCTCGCTCTCAGTGCTTGCTGAAGCACCGCTACAGCAGACCATTGCTTCTCCCTGCTCTAGAAACAGTCAGCACAGCCAATGGTTTGGGGCTACCACCAAAATTCATATTATCCTCATTTTTATGATGACATTATTTTTGTATCTTACACAAATCCTCCCACGTGTGATAACAGGTAAAAACTAAATTTGTGGGTATTAGACCTACCTCTAGGCTTTTTCAGCTCCTTTTCTCTCCAACATAGGCCAGCAAAGCAGTCCTTCCTTTCTAGCACTTAACCCTTCTGGGTCTCCTTGCTGGCAGGTCAAAAAGGAGAGAAAGGAAAACTCGTATTCAAGTTTTTTGTGTCTTGTGGTCAGCCTCGGCATCTCACCAAAAGGATAAGGATATTCTATATATCCTTACATATCCTATATATGCCTCAAGACAATGCCGTTTATAACAATTTAAGATCCTAGTGTTGTATCCGTGCTGCAGGTGAATGAACTCAGGCTAAGAGATGCCAATGAGCTTCTGACCCATTCCCAAGCTTTACTGCCCCCTCTCTGTTTTCTTAGGGCAGGCGAAATTCCCTCCGCAGACCGGGGCATTAGTAACACTAATGACGGGATGTATCATCTCTGCCTGCTGAGCGTGATTCACAGAGTCAACATGGCCCCAGCAGCTGAGAGGAACAATGCGGCGTGTTCTGTTACACTTTTTTGGCTACGCCATCGCTGGAGCCCAGAGCAAGGGCAGTGATGTCATGGCCATAGGCTTAATGTGTGAGTAACGCGTCCAGCACTACAAGCTCCCTGTGATCTCTTACTTCCACATTAATATAACTTAGGGCATATACACACAATTAGTTGCCAGAGCCAAGAATAAGTCATTTGGAAGAGATTATTTTATTTTAGGCTTTTAACAAGAATGCTTCTCGGTCCCAACAGGCTCGTTCTGGAGAGGTAGTACCTAGCTAAATGTCGAGCTATATAATTTAGTCAAGACCTCGGCTTTAAAGACAAAAGTTTGGAATGTAGAAATGGGCAGACTAGAATCCCACTAAGAAATAGCTTACATTTTTTCTGACAATTAGACATTGTTGTAAGTATTTACATAAAAAAAAAAAAAAGAAAAGTAAGAAAAAGCAGCTCTGAGGCAAAGAAAGAAATTATTCCCAGCCATTTTCAAGAAAATTACTTTGAAGCCTTTCGTGCACTTGTGTTTGAACAAAGCTTTTCTCCATTTAGCTTCTGAGTGGAGAAGGGAGGGGGTTATTCCTTCCTCTCAAAAATGTGTTATGTGTATTTAGTGGCCTGTCAAAAGAACCGGCGCAGGAGGGGGCGTAGGGGCTAAGCATATAGCGACATTGTAATCGGAGGCCAGTCAGCGGGTCACGCAGGCAAGCTCGTACTAGCTCTAAGCTATCTCATGCGTGTGCTGATAACCGTAGGCATGGAGTTCAGGGTGAGCCATTAGCCAGCGCGCTGCCCCGGGGACCAGGCAGGTTTTGTAGCCTGAGCTCAGAGCTGCCACAGCTACGCTGCCTGTAGCACCCAGCTCAGGTAGCCCCAAGTCAGCATGGATGGGGCCGCATAAGCTGCTGTCAGCTCTCTTGGTGCAGCAGGGTGACTGGTCCCTGCTTTATAAAGCTCTTCCCTGATGCACTGCCAGGTGGTTGCAGGTATCTCAGGTGGCAAGGCTTGGAGTTGTCCTCTGTTTCGGGCACAGGATTACGCCAGGATTCCTTTGCCCAGCGAAACAGGGGAAGCCCTGGGAATTCGTAACATGAAATCTTATCTCAAGAGAAAAACAAAGCAGAGGCTTCTGTGTAGAGGCTTGTTGAACTACGCATTCCTCTAATAGTTTCCCAACGCTTTGCTGCGTGTTCCCAACAGGCTGGAGGCTTTATCTCCTGGGCAGGCTGGGGCTGGAGCACTGCCAGCCTCCCTGGGGACCGGCTTTGGCCCTGTAGATGCCTGTGCCTCTGCAGTGGGCTGTGGATTGGCGGAAGCTGGTACAAAGCTGCCTGTCCGATTAAATTTGTTGTTCTGCGAAAGGATTTAGCTTTGTTTGCTGGTTATTACTGAAGAAAAAATCCTAAGCTGCTGCTTTAACCTGTGTTAAACCTTTCAGGGGGTGAAAGAATCTGGCTCCTTTCCTTCCACGATGTAAACATGGAGGAGAAACCTAAGAGAAGGTGCTAAAAAAAATTAAAAGAAAAAAAAATAATTAAAAAAAAGTTTTAAAATACTGTTTTGATTACAGCCTTTTTTACCTTACAATAAAAATAGAATAGTTATTTTTAAATTTCCTGGGCTAAAAGGCTGCTACATCAGAAGCAGTACTGAAGTTGGCTTCCGAAATAAATCTGATGGGTCATTAGCCACCATCGCAAACACGCTCCAGCTCCCACACATACCTGCTGTCTCCTTGGGAATGTGCTAGTAAGCCATCAAGAAGAGTTTGTAGAATATAAAGTTGAGGGGAGATGTTTGAGACTTTCGTATTTCATAATTCAATCCTGTACAAACACACCAAAGGCAGCCAAATCAAATAAACAACTTATTCCAAAACAAGATATCTGTACACAAGATTTGCTCTGGTTTAATTGAGTTTATGGCTGACTATTAGTTAAAACAATAAAATGTTATCTGTAGAGAAAATTTCAGGTCAGCAGGGACTCGTAGGCTACAAAAGATGACTGTGAACGTATAGCGTGAGCACAAGAACTTCTGAACTACTGCTACAATTGCAGGAAAGGCCCTTACAAAGGCTGCTTCTAAAGTTTTAATTTCCCTTGTGTGAGACCTGCAAGGTAGATCGTTTCTCTCACAGGATTCCTGCCTCCTTTCTTCAATTAGCAAATTAGCATCTCATGCTTTGTTTTATCCTTCTGCTCAGTAGATAGACCTGGATCGTCTTTAGTACACAGGATTTAAACCACGCTCCGAGAGCAGAATTACTAAAACCCACTTTGAGTTCAAGGCTTTCGGTGAGATACCATATCTAGCTGCTTCAGAAACATCAGCAAATTTGTTTTCACAGCACTGCCGTGGGTATCGTGTATCTTGTAGACAAGAGGCTGCCTACTGAAAACAGTAGAGGCAAAAGATTTGGAGTACCTGATACAGAATGACAAGGACTTGGGTTTTCACAGTTCCTAGCATGCTGCAGCACTTTATATTCCAAGCACAAAACCCAGCTGCAGTTGTGAGCTCTCAGTCCCTTTGCAAGCCGGCTGTGGTTCAACCTTCTGGGGCTCCAGCTGTAGCATTGCTCCAAAGACTTGCACCCTGCCACCAGAGCCCACACCTTCCTACCCTTGCCCTGCAGCACATCCACACACTGTTTTGCAGGGCTGTTCTGCAAACAGGATTGGGAAAATGATTTATATTAAAAATAATCCTTCTGTGCTACCTGCTTTCCTTAACGCACGAGGCAGGGGCTAATGCAGAGAACTGTTTTGATGCTTTCACAGCCTCAGAGCGGTTCCCTCCTGCCCGTGGAGCCAGGGAGCACCCTGAGGAAACAGTCTGTGCACTTGGAAATGAAGGCTGCATCATAACCCATCTGCACAAACGTTGCCTGGGTAACTTTAATCCCGGATTTCCTAACTTTTTGAGCACTCGAGTCCATAGCCATTGCAGTTTTTCTGCAGGCTTTTTGTGTGTGATATGTGTTCTCGTTTCAAGTAAGCTGGAGCATAAGAAGAATGAGTAAGGGAGGAGATAGCTATCTGGGCAATGCCAAGGTGTGGAAAAAATGCTTGTTCCTTCATCTTTATGCAAGAGTATTTGGAGATAGAATTTGGAATAATTGCCAGCAAAGGTTCCCCACTCACAGAAGCTTGTTGTTGTTAACAGCAGAGTTGAACTGGGTGTTGGTAACTCACAGAAAACCTTCCCCATGCAAAGTGCTCCCTTCTATTGAGAGTGAGATGGTTGCTGTGATGTTCAGCTCAGTGTTCTTCCTATCCCATGACCACTGCAAACAGGGAAATCAGTAACTTTGTTGGATGTGCACAAGCATGCATGATGGGCTTTGCTGCCTAGCACTGCCTAGCAAGTTCCTTTTCTCTTGTAAGCAGAATTACATAAAGGAGGTTCCTCTTCAAGTATTGCCATCACTAGCTCAATCACTGAGTTTCACCTGCTCATTATTTCACCTTTAGTGCAGATTTGCATGACTGGAGCAGCACAGAGACAACTGTTAGAGGGGCCAAAACCTGGCACAGAAAGATTAGTTATTGTGAAGTACACTAAAATAATAGGCTCATACTCCATCTGGGTCATCCTTAAAATTGTCTTTTCTGGCTTCCTTTCTTTTGCCACATCAGATCTAAGCTCCTTGATTTCAGCTTTTCTGTTCAGAATGTGTCTTTCTATTCCCACTACTACCCCAATCTACCTTTGGCTTGTTTGTTTGATTACAAATTCCCTCTCTGGTTTACACTTTTCTTTGTGCTGCTTCCCCATTTCCAGAATCCATGGGACAGACTCAGCCATGGCCTAATAAGGGTCCCATACAGCAGAAAGTCATTGTGGGGCATGGAGTATTGAGGCAAAGTGAGAGCAAACCATATTCTGGAAGATTATCTGCCATTAGCAGAGGTGATGAACGTCCATGCTAATCCAGCAGCATACCAGTCCTACCTGTTCTGAGCCCTGACACTTCTTGTAGAGTACCAACAGCAATTTTGGGGAGGCACAACCAACAGTCCTTTCCTCAGACAAATTCCTACTGGGTGGTAGCCACATCACCAAAAAGGAATCATCACACACAGAGTTTTCATGCTTTTTCTACCTGGAACAGGTAGCTCTTATTTCCCACACAATAAACAGCATTCTCATTCCCTTAAAAGCCTTGACCAAGTTTTCCACACCACTTACAGCATGGATTTTCTCATTACCATACCTGTTCTTACAGTCTGCAAGATACTGAAAGACAAGCTTGATACTTAGGTTTCCTCTAATAACCTCTTCTCCACAGGTATTTTGGTGTTAGTGATAGTAATGACCATAAATATAATAATGATAATATAAGGAGTAATGATTACTATAAGGTGAGTGGTAGAATTACTCTTGAAATCAGGCTTAAATTTGAACAAAATGCAGTAATATCCCTTCTGGAGAAGCCAGAAGCACTCTCCTCTTGCAGGATGAAAGGAACTGAGGAATGTGCTGGCTGGCACTGAATCCCTGTCCTCTTGGGCCTTTAATGGGTTTCCTGCTCCTGTAGGTTCAAAGAGCAATTACAGTCTCCGGCAAAAGTACAGCAAATGGAAAACAGATTCTTTGGCTCCCCCTGAAATGCCAAGAGAATAAGTAACCAAAAGATGCAGGACTTGAAGTCACTTTATTGCAGTAGTTTATTGAGCTGAAGGGAAATTTCCCTCCCTGTATCCCTGAGGCTGGAGGAAGTCCCAAACACAGGAGCTGGGTGGTAGGAACCCAGTGGCAAACCCATGTTCACACCCATCTCCTTGGAGGGGCTCATAGGGGGGCCAAGGGGGCCAAAAGATAATCCTGGACCGCTGCAGACTGCACAGCAAGCTGCCTCTGGGGTCCAGCTCCTTCACCTCTCTGCTGGGGGGTTGTTTAGTGCCTTTGAATTGTCCGTCAGAGAGGAACAAAAGCAAGGCCTGGGGAAAAGGGGAGGACAGCAAGGGCAGGGCAGCTTCCTTCTTGACAGGAAGTCATTATGAGGGTATATGGAAGTATATTTCCAGCACAATGCAGCTGGATAAGCAGATGGAGGCTGAGGAACCAGCCTTAGATATCAGGAGCCTGACAGTGGCAACGCTTGCTACCTCACCCAGGGATAACAGCCTGTGCAGAGCAGGAAAGCCATAAAAACAAACAATGGGATATGGAAGAAAAAGGGAAGGGCCCAGGTCATTCAGACCCAGGATAATCCATTCAGAGAGCTGCTGGATGTATGCACCACAGCGGGTTAATACTCTGGTATTTCATCAAGAGAAAGTAGTGGGCATGAGCGCTGTGAGCTGCATACTAATCTCTTGTGAGGGCCTGCGTAGGCCACACAAGATGGCCTCCAACAGGGCAACGCGGCCCAAGTGCTTCTGCAGGGGTCTGCGCAATCAAGCACTGAAGGCTAAAAGCAAAATCCACGGGTAAAGCAGGACTGGATTTAGGACTGGAGCAGCACATTTCTTTTTTTTAAATTTATTTGATAAAATAAAAGTATAGTCCAGGGTTAATGAACAGGAGGTAGTAAGCATACATTGTGTCTATAAAAGACAGTTCTCATCTCTTACACCTGGCTCTGAAAATGCTTTCCCATGATCAGCAACACCTGCAGCATTAACGCACCACAGCACTGGCATGTTGTGAGTGAGGCTTCTCTTCCATCCCTGAAAAGAGCTGGGGCTGAACCAGTAGGTTTCTGATTTAGTATTCAGTAAACTACGCTGTACAGGAGAAACTAAATAAGCCTGCCTAAAGTAAAAAGCCCTGCGGGTTGCTTTGCATCATGTTTCATTTCTACCTCAGATTACTTGAGATTAAATCGTACCACTGATGGCAGAGAGAAATAGCTAGTAAGGCAGCACATCAGCAATAATCCCAATTTTGTGCTTGAACAAGGATGCCCGGTATCCAGTGACGGTACAAGTAGGTCACCCAGCTGGCTTCACAACCAGAGAAACTTCTGCATTCAAACTCAGCTTCAGGCACCATTCTGTTGTATGGCACAAGGATGGGATGTAGCTCAACTCTGCAGTTTCTCAGGTGTACGGGGGAAACTGTACACTCATAATTACACAACTGTGACGCAATAATTGCTGAGGATTTCCTTGGTCATCTTGTATTACAAATTGATGCTTCCTCTAGTTTTCCTTACTGTCTACAGAGGAAGAAGGGATCCATTCTCTCCTTACCATATGTATGTGTAATTCCCCTTAAGCTAACAGGAACCAACAAGAAATTGGACCCTAAAGAGGAGGGGTGAGGAAGAGATGAATGAATAAAAGACCCCTTCATAAGAGCTCTGACCTAGATGTGTGGGGTGTTTTTTGTCTCTGACCTCCTGCTGACAGACATGGACTACAGGCATAGAGTTTGGATATAAAATCTCTGAATCCAGAGCCATGCACATTTGGAGAGGGAGCATTTTTGGTTTGGCCCCCTCTTCGCACCATAAAGGATTTGCAGCCAAAGCAAATCTAAAGACAAATTGATATAATTTGTTGACCTTTTGAAACTATTCCAATCTATCTGGGGTGGCAGGGAGAAGGCTGTTGTAATTAAATGTTATGAAGTAATGCCAAATATTTCTCCTAGAAGGGGATCTTTTGAGTCAACAGGTTTGGACAACACAAGGTGAAAGTGACCTTTTCCTGCTACAATTTGATCGGGTCTCTAGACACAAAAGCAGAATGGGACAGAAAAAACAACTTTGGAGCTTCCAGTACAAGAAAGCCACTTTGTCCTCCATGAATGCTTAGTTCTAGTTTGAACATGGTCTTTCCTTTATCATCCCCATACAGCCACACGCAGTCTTTCTGATGAATCAATATGAATGGATTCCAGAAAATTCCTCCAGTGCTGCTTTAGAAGAGTCTAGTAATGGTAAAGCTCTGTTACTTTCTGGACTCTTCACTGCCAAGGCTGAAACAAAGGACTTCTAGGTTGGCTGAAAATCAGCTGGACCACCAGACTGAAAGGGTAACGATGATCAAAGACTTGGCTTTGCTCACAGCAGTAATAAGTTATGTACTCCAGAGGTTGGTCCTGTGGTCCTTGCAGTTCAATCATCGTGAACGACCTGTATAATATGGAAGCACACCCTCAGCCTGTCTGTGGAAGATGCAAACTTTACAACAGCTGGCTGATATAAATATATACGCATAACATTATCTTCAGCTGAGAGGGACCTCATACACCTAAGGACTGGGCCAACAGAAACCTCATTAAGTCCAGTAAAGAGAAATACAAAGCTGTGCACCTGAGGTGGAATAATTCCCTCCATCCCTACAAGCTGGGAGCCAACAGACCAACAGCCCTGCAAAGGAGCAGGAGGTTACAGTGGCTACCAGCCTGAATGAGCTGGCAGGGCATTGTCACTGTAAGGCAACTGTGTACTGTGCTACAGGAGAAGGAGCATGGCTGACAGATTTGGAAGTTATTTTCCCTGTTGTCTGGCACTGCTTGAGTATGCATTTGACACACTGTCCAGCCTGAAGCCTCTCCACTGCAGAGGGATGTGAAAACTGGAGGATGTCCAGATGAAGTCTACCGCAATGGTCAGAGGTCTGGAACACATCAGCAATGGTATGTTGAGGGATCTTGGCTTGTGTAGGCAGGTGAAAGGAAGGCTCATCTAATAGCCTACAACTACCTGAAGGGTAATTATACAAACATAACAGATCCACATTCTCTTCAGTGTGATCAGATGATATTGCACAAAAGAATGGCTGCAAATTGCAGCCTGGGACATTAAACTAGACATTAATAAAAACATTTCCTATGAGGGTAGTGCAACATGAACACAGTGGTCACATAATATTCAGTTTTGGAGGTATTCAAGACAGGTATTCAAAGTTAGAGCTAACCCGATCGTGTGGCACTAGTACTTTGGTGAACAGGTGCTCATTGGAAGTAATATTGGGATCAGCCACACAATCAACATGTCTCTAACTGGTCTTGATCAGAGACAGCCTCACCAGGCAGTAAGGAGGGATTTTAACCACTTACACTTAACAAGCCAAGTTTTATTGGCAAGCTCAGATACATTCCTTATGAGCAGAGGCACATTTTACATTTTATTATTGGTCCTGACAATCTATAGAGACATTTCCAGAGGTAGCCAGCCAGCCAGAATGAAAAGTTGCTGCCCCAGAGATCCCAAAGCAAAAGGCCAATTGGCTTCAAATGTTTTGCCATCTAAAACATCTTGAGACCCATGCCTATGTCCCATACTAATGCAATAAAGTTCACTTATTCAGGTGTCAGGAACAGAAGAATCATTCCTTCACTCTGACAGCTAAAATGCTAAAGCTATGCTGTCTTTTTACCAGCCTATTTTCTTTATCACAGACTATCCTGTGAGAATCCCAGCTACATACAAAGAACAATGACAGCCAACTATCTCCACTCTGGCAACAGTCAGCTCACAGCCCACATTTGAGTCAATGACCTCTTAACTGAAGAGAGAGACGAGCAGTATCAAAGGAAAACCCAAACCCAAAGTGTTACATCCTCACAAAGAATGCGATGATTTTACTCCACTGTTCATGACTAATAAATCACAAGGATTCAGTGAACCACCAGTTAATTTGTAATAATATTTGTGAAACAGAAGAGGGACAGTCTTGTGGTTAAGGCTGGACTGACACTCAGGATGTCTGGGTCCAATTCCTAGCGCAGATTTTCCTTTGTAAGCACTGTCAGGCCGCTTCAGCTCTCATCCTCAGTTCCTTGCCTATAAAGTTTTCCCTTTCTTTGACTTTTTGTCTGTCTGATCTGTTTTAGTTCTGAAATATTTCTGTAGTTTCTGACATCCAGGAAAGTAGAAAATATAACACACATGATGTAATGAATTGTGCTGTGAGCTGCAAATAGCTCTAAAATAGCCCCCAGGCTGTACGTATTCACTTCAGCCAGCTGACAAACATATATTTGAAGAAACCAGCCTGGACAAGTGAATGGTTAGCAAATGGAGACTACATTCAGAAGTAATTGTTCATAATGAATTCTGCTAAATGCCTGCTGCTACTGTTACCATTGAAATCAGTACCAGCACAGATATTTTTACTCACATTTCATGTAAACTCAATTTAAGTGATGGCACAGTGTTTATATCACCTTACAACAACAAAGTTGTTTTTTTTCAGACCACCAAACGTGGAACAGGAATTTTATGTTTGACGTTTTTGTTTGTGTTTTTTTTTTTTTCTTTATAAATTGCAACATTCAGATGCTTATCAGTAATGTC